TATAGCAGTGTATAGTAGTATAGTGTATAGTAGTGTAGTGTATAGTGTAGTGTATAGTAGTGTAGTGTGTAGTATAGTGTATAGTAGTGTAGTGTATAGTAGTGTAGTGTGTAGTGTATAGTAGTATAATGTATACTAGTGTAGCGTGGTGTATAGTAGTGTAGTGTGTAGTGTATAGTGTAGTGTATAGTAGTATAGTGTATAGTAGTGTAGTGTATTATAGTGTAGTGTGTAGTAGTATAGTGTATAGTAGTGTAGTGTGTAGTGTATAGTAGTATAGTGTATAGAAGTGTAGTGTATAGTAGTATAGTGTATAGTAGTGTATTGTGTAGTGTGTAGTGTAGTGTATATTAGTGTATAGTGTAGTGTACAGTGTATAGTAGTTCAGTGTATAGTAGTGCATTGTATAGTGTCGTGCATAGTAGTGTAGTGTATAGTAGGATAGTGTATAGTAGTATAGTGTGTAGTGTATAGTGGTGTATAGTAGTGTATAGTAGTGTATTGTGTAGTGTAGTGTATAGTAGTGTAGTGTGTAGTGTAGTGTATAGTAGTGTAGTGTATATTAGTGTATAGTTTAGTGTATAGTAGTTTAGTGTATAGTAGTGTAGTGTATAGTAGTGTAGTGTATAGTGTCGTGCATAGTAGTGTAGTGTATAGTAGTGTAGTGTGTAGTGTATAGTAGTGTACAGTAGTGTAGTGTATAGTAGGATAGTGTATAGTGGCATAGTGTATAGTAGGATAGTGTGTAGTAGTATAGTGTATAGTAGGGTAGTGTATAGTATTGTTGTGTATAGTAGTATAGTAGTGTATAGTGTAGTGTGTAGTAGTATAGTGTATAGTAGTTTAGTGTATAGTAGTGTAGTGTGTAGTGTAGTGTATAGTGGTATAGTAGTGTATTGTGTAGTGTATAGTGTAGTGTATAGTAGTATAGTAGTGTATAGTGTAGTATGTAGTAGTATAGTGTATAGTAGTTTAGTGTATAGTAGTGTAGTGTGTAGTGTAGTGTATAGTGGTATAGTAGTGTATTGTGTAGTGTATAGTGTAGTGTATAGTAGTATAGTAGTGTATAGTGTAGTGTATAATAGTATAGTGTATAGTAGTGTAGTGTATAGTGTCGTGCATAGTAGTGTAGTGTATAGTAGTGTAGTGTGTAGTGTATAGTAGTGTATAGTAGTGTAGTGTATAGTAGGATAGTGTATAGTAGGATAGTGTGTAGTATAGTGTATAGTAGGATAGTGTATAGTAGTGTAGTGTGTAGTGTATAGTGTAGTGTATAGTAGTATAGTGTATAGTAGTGTATTATGTATTGTGTAGTGTATAGTAGTGTTGTGTGTAGTGTATAGTAGTATAGTGTATAGTAGTGTAGTGTATAGTAGTGTAGTGTATAGTAGTGTAGTGTGTAGTGTATAGTAGTGTAGTGTGTAGTGTATAGTAGTATAGTGTATAGTAGTGTATTGTGTAGTGTATAGTGTAGTGTATAGTAGTATAGTAGTGTATAGTGTAGTGTATAGTAGTATAGTGTATAGTAGTTTAGTGTATAGTAGTGTAGTGTATAGTGTCGCGCATAGTAGTGTAGTGTATAGTAGTGTAGTGTATAGTAGGATAGTGTATAGCAGTATAGTGTATAGTAGGATAGTGTATAGTTGTGTAGTGTGTAGTGTATAATAGTATAGTGTATAGTAGTGTATTATGTATTGTGTAGTGTAGTGTATAGTAGTGTTGTGTGTAGTGTATAGTGTAGTGTATAGTAGTATAGTGTATAGTAGTGTAGTGTATAGTAGTGTAGTGTATAGTAGTGTAGTGTGTAGTGTAGTGTCTAGTAGTGTAGTGTATAGTAGTATAGTGTATAGTGTAGTGTATAGTAGTATAGTGTATAGTAGTGTATAGTAGTATAGTGTAGTGTATAGTGTAGTGAATAGTAGTGTAGTATACTGTATAGTAGTATAGTGTATAGTAGTGTAGTGTATAGTGTAGTCTATAGTGTAGTGTATAGTAGTGTAGTGTGTAGTGTATAGTGTAGTGTATAGTGTAGTGTATAGTAGTGTATAGTGTAGTGCATAGTAATATAGTGTAGTGTATAGTGTAGTATATAGTAGTGCAGTGTATAGTAGTGTAGTGTATAGTGTAGTGTATAGTAGTGTAGTGTATAGTGTAGTGTATAGTAGTATAGTGTGTATAGTAGTCTAGTGTATAGTGTAGTGTATTGTAGTGTGTAGTGTATAGTTTAGTGTATAGTGTAGTGTATAGTAGTATAGTGTATAGTAGTATATTGTGTAGTGTGTAGTGTAGTGTATAGTAGTATAGTAGTTTATTGTGTAGTGTGTAGTGTATAGTGTAGTGTATAGTAGTATAGTAGTGTATAGTGTAGTGTATAGTAGTATAGTGTATAGTAGTTTAGTGTATAGTAGTGTAGTGTATAGTGTCGTGCATAGTAGTGTAGTGTATAGTAGTGTAGTGTGTAGTGTATAGTAGTGTAGTGTATAGTAGGATAGTGTATAGTAGTATAGTGTATAGTAGGATAGTGTGTAGTAGTATAGTGTATAGTAGGATAGTGTATAGTAGTGTAGTGTGTAGTGTATAGTGTAGTGTATAGTAGTATAGTGTATAGTAGTGTATTATGTATTGTGTAGTGTATAGTAGTGTTGTGTGTAGTGTAGTGTATAGTAGTGTAGTGTATAGTAGTGTAGTTTGTAGTGTAGTGTGTAGTGTAGTGTATAGTAGTGTAGTGTGTAGTGTATAGTAGTATAGTGTATAGTAGTGTATTGTGTAGTGTGTAGAGTATAGTGTAGTGTATAGTAGTGTATAGTGTAGTGTATAGTAGTATAGTGTATAGTAGTATAGTGTATAGTAGGATAGTGTATAGTAGTGTAGTGTGTAGTGTATAGTGTAGTGTATAGTAGTATAGTGTATAATAGTGTATTATGTATTGTGTAGTGTTGTGTGTAGTGTATAGTGTAGTGTATAGCAGTATAGTGTATAGTAGTGTAGTGTATAGTAGTGTATAGTAGTGTAGTGTGTAGTGTAGTGTCTAGTAGTGTATAGTAGTGTAGTGTGTAGTGTATAGTGTAGTGTATAGTAGTATAGTGTTTAGTAGTGTATTGTGTAGTGTAGTGTATAGTAGTGTATAGTGTAGTGTATAGTAGTATAGTGTAGTGTATAGTGTAGTGTATAGTAGTGTATTATCGTGTATAGTAGTATAGTGTATAGTAGTGTATAGTAGTATAGTGTAGTGTATAGTGTAGTGAATAGTAGTGTAGTATAGTGTATAGTAGTGTAGTGTATAGTAGTGTAGTGTATAGTGTAGTCTATAGTGTAGTGTATAGTAGTGTAGTGTGTAGTGTATAGTGTAGTGTATAGTGTAGTCTATAGTGTAGTGTATAGTAGTGTAGTGTATAGTGTAGTGTATAGTGTAGTGTATAGTAGTGTATAGTGTAGTGTATAGTAGTATAGTGTAGTGTATAGTGTAGTATATAGTAGTGTAGTGTATAGTAGTGTAGTGTATAGTGAAGTGTATAGTAGTGTAGTGTATAGTAGTGTAGTGTATAGTGTAGTGTATAGTAGTATAGTGTGTATAGTAGTCTAGTGTATAGTGTAGTGTATTGTAGTGTGTAGTGTATAGTGTAGTGTATAGTAGTATAGTGTAGTGTATAGTAGTATAGTGTAGTGTATAGTATAGTGTATAGTAGTTTAGTTTATAGTGTAGTGTATAGTAGTATAGTGTATAGTAGTTTAGTTGGATAATGTGTAGTAGGATAGTGTATAGTAGTATAGTGTATAGTAGTGTAGTGTATAGTAGTATAGTATACAGTGTAGTGTATAGTAGTATAGTGTAGTGTGTAGTGTATAGTAGTGTACAATGTAGTGTATAGTAGTGTATAGTAGTGTAGTGTATAGTAGTAAAGTTTATAGTAGTGTATAGTGTAGTGTATAGTAGTGTGTAGTGTATAGTAGTGTAGTGTATAGTGTAGTGTATAGTAGTGTAGTGCCCCCATAAAGCCCAATGTGTTCGCTTACCGACCGTTCCCCTGCTAGACAGGGTGTTGTATGCACAGTCAATATTATTTAATGCATTCATTAACCATGTTTATTTTAATGTTATGTGTTTATACTATTGTTAGTACAGTATCTTTATGGTTTGATATCCATCGTTTAAATATTAGAAAGTAAGTTTTTTGCGTTAAAAGGGTAACTTTCGATGCTATCGGAACGAATTTAGCCTTTAACGTGATTTTCCTAGACTCGCTTAACGACCAAATCACTGAACGGCCAGTTTCGTGGAACCAATTACCGCCGTTAAGAGGTGTTCTACTGTGCTCTAATCCACATGGCAAGAGAGAGGGATCTCTCTGCCTCTCAAGAGCATTTGCGTAATTCCTTGACTTTGACAATGAATGACTTCTCGCACCACACCATGGGACTGGTAAACCAGGTCACAGGTCTCCTTGCCTCCCCCACGCGGCGCATTTTCTGTGAGCTGGCATTGATTGAGTCACCACGAGGAGCGTGGTCGGGGGTTCTATCTCTCGCTCTCTCACTCTTAACACTGCAACGGGGGGAGGTGGGGGGTGGTGGGAAGTCGGCTTAGGACAATTGCACAACGCCGCCCGATGTTAACAGGATCGGGAAACAACCGTTCCCCATCACCGAGGTACTTCCGAATCCCTCCGGGTGAGAGTCGCACACGCGCACACATCGACACGCGCGTGTCCGCAGACGCGAGCGAGCGTGCGCACATTTCGAAACGAAGCGTTCGGCAAGCGCGTCCTGGCCCCGCGTGTAGCAAGTACCGCAGCAACGTACTTCAATTGTGATCGCACACGCAGGGCAGTCATATCCCCCCACCGCCACACGCCCCGCTGCGTCCCGCAACAAAACGCCTGCCTTCGCGATCGCCTTGAGCTCTCGAGACGAGAGTGCCAACACCAAATATGCTAACTCGTTATTATCATCATCATCATCACCACCACCGCCACCACCACGACCCACCACTACCCCCACAGTGGATGAGGCGGCGCGAGGGGCCCAGGACGACCGCTACCGCCGTGACGTCGACCTCCCTTCGGGGCGTTCGTCAGCGCACGGCGGCGCCGGGAGCTCGAGCGTCGTCGACTCCCGGGTCATGACGGAAGGAGCGCGGAACTCCGGGCCAGAGTGCTCCGGCGCCGCCGCGACCATCGTCGGCGACCTCGGGGATGGCACCGACAACAACAACAGCGGCGGCGTCGGCGTCATTCTCGGCAACTTCTCGATGGGACACGCGAACGTCTCGGCCGTGTTCTCGGGGGAGGAGTACAAGTACCCGCTGCTGCTCGTCATCTACTCGGCCACGTTCGCGCTGGGCTTCGCGGGCAACTCGGTGGCGCTGTGGGACTTCCTGTGGCACCGGCGCTACCGCTCGCCCAGCTGCATGTGCCTCATCAACCTGGCGTTCGCCGACCTCCTCTTCGTGCTCTCGCTGCCCATCCGCCTGTTCTACTACTCGCGGGCGGCTGACGTGGAGCTGCCCGCCACCCTCTGCCGCGTCAGCCACTACGCCTTCTACGTGAACATGTACGGCAGCATCTACCTGCTCGCCTGCTACAGCGTCATGCGCTACCTGGCCGTGGCGCGGCCGATGCGCGCCAAGGCGCTGATCACGATGAGGCGCGCCGCGCTCGCGTGCGCGGCCATCTGGATCTTCGTGCTCTCCTCGTCCGCTCCGCTGCTCGTCAAGCGCTCCTCCGAACAGGGCACCAAGTGCTTCGACCTGCAGAAGGGCTCCGTCTCCTTCCTCTACAAGATGAACGCCTTCGCCGCCGCGGTGGGGTGCGCGATGCCCTTCGCCGTCATCCTGCTCTGCTACGCGGGCATCTGGCGGTCGCTCGCGGGCGGCCCCGAGACGTCCGCCTCGCCGGTGCCGCCGTCGTCGTCGTCTCTGCCGCCGATGCTCCGGCTGCGCACCAGCGGGGGAGTGCGCGCGGCCAGGCGCAGGCGCGCGGCGCACCTCATGCTGGCCGTGGTGCTGGTCTTCGTCGTGTGCTTCATCCCCTACCACGTGCTGCGCACCGTCTACCTGCACCTGCGGCTCTGGCGCGGGGGGGACTGGGTGGCGGTGCACAAGGGCCTGCTGGCCGCCGCCGCGCTCACGGCGCTCAACTGCGTGCTCGACCCGCTGCTCTACTACTTCTCGGGGGAGATTTTCCGCCGAAGGGCGCTGGCGATGTGGGACTCCGCCGTGAGGCTGCAGTCGACGAGGATGGTGAGCGGCGGCGCGGCCGGGGGCACCGGCGCCGTCGTCCTGCACACAAACAGCAACAAAAACAGCAGCAGCAACAACAACAGCAACAGCAGCAACAACAACAGGGGCACTGCGTCCCCTGGGCGCGCGCCGTCACGCGTGGAGAAAGTGGCGACTTTGGACTGCCCTGTCTAGGGCAGAGGGGGGCGCGGACACGCTTCGGAAATTGGGGGGGGGAGGTCAGTTCGATGCCCAGCCCTGGCTCCGCTGGGTTAGCGGGGCCACGAGAGAGCTGCCGTGGCTCTGGGTCACCACTGATGAGAGTGAACGTGGGGTGGGTGGGCCCAAGGGACTTGTCGTTGGTGCAGAGCCGAACCAGCAGCAGCAGCCGGCCCAGCCACGGTTTGTTCGTCAGACTACAGGGTGGGATGGCGTTCACAGAGTCCTCTCCCAACCGTGTCACGGATCACAGGGGTTCTATTTGTGCCACAGTTGTATTAAACCTTACGCAATCAGCCGACTACCGACTCGGCGCTGAGCCTACTGTCGACGCGAAGTTCCATCATCAGGAAAAATCGGCATTAATGTGACGTTACTGAAGGGGGGGAAGACAAGCCCACTCAAATGTATCACGTTCTCTGTGCAAAACGTTGCCGCTGTCGCTTAGATATATCTAGAGACAAACTCGGGACCGGGACACACATTTTCAAGTTAAATTTGTGTTTCTCCAAGTGAGAATGCAAGAAGCCAGTAGAGTCTTATTTGCAAGTGACCACAGGCATTGGTCTGCAGGTGGTCCAGGGTGGTCAAGGGTGGTCCAGGTGTCTTGTGACCCCCCACCCCCCCCCCCATTTAATTATCTAAAACTAAATATATATTTTATTAAAGTAAGTTTTACTTAAAACAGAAATGAATATGCAAAGGGCAAAAAATGATAGGGGTCAATTACTGGACATCTATGAAAAAGCTTTGCAGCTCATCGGATTTCTCCAGCATAAAAACATCCTGATAATTGTCAGTCTCAAGACATGTGGACCACCCTGTATAAAACAAATCGAGCCACGTACCGGGTAATGATACAACGTGGCAAATTCTGGACCCAGGCCATCCGCAGTGGCTGTGCCCCTGGTCTAAGAGCCTGGGACAATTGGGGCGCTTGCCAACGTCTTGGCATTCGCTGCGATGCTCACAAATCGACCGCGGCTCGCACCGCTTCCCTCTGTGCAGACGCCGAGAATTGGGCCTTTGCGCGCCGCACGATTGCCAAACACCCTGCCACGTGGCCCACGTGACGTAGAAGCATCGGTAAACATGCAAAGGCGGCAAAGGGCGTGGGGTTGCGAGGACTGCGGTTTGTGAAGAAGGCCCGTTGGTACGGTGACAACGCCGTTTGCCGCGAAATCAGGATCCGCAAGGGACGCTGTGGTTAAAAAAAAAAGAACTATCTGTGTAAGAGGACTGCACGACCTTTGAGTTCCCGTAAAGAATTTCACATGGATTTACTCACTGGGTTACCCGCCCATCACTTGCAACTCGTAAATCTGGCTGTCGCCTGACTCTAGTTGTAATTACTGGCGAAACGTCGTACTCAGATTGGAAATGTTGTGGATTTGCTCTCCAACACACCGGTGTGCTGTACTAGTAACGAATTGGCATTTTCTGTTTACTTGACAAACCTTACTAATTGGCTGTGTCGGGAGGTGGCGGGTTTAACGACACATTTATATTTACACGATCTAACCCAAAATAACCTGTATCATGAATTCGCCATATTGTTTTGCCAGATTTCGGAAGCTAATCTGGGGTTGAGCCTGTGCATTGCTTGGAGCAAGAACCATCACGCGAACTCCGCTCATCCTCGCAGCAGCAGCGGATTTTGACTGGCCATCGAACAAAGACGGTCACTGCATCGCGCGCTTTCAGATGCGCTTCTGCGGCCGTCTGGAACGCTCTTCTTTCCGACAGAAAGCCACTGGAGCTATGCACTTTTCAATCTAGATTGAAAACTAATTTCTTTAGAACTGATTGTTGTGTTTAGCTTGTTGTCCTTCTCCCGCACCTCCTATTAGAACGGTTGGCTACGTACGGTGCGAAAGAAGTTCAAAACACACACATACATACCACAAGTGGTTTATAGCCTGTGGGATTACAAGGTGGACAGCAGAGGACAGTGTGGTAAAATCTATCGTTGTACTGTATTTATATGTTCCCATGGTTTATGCTCGCTGCCATCACCAATCCGCACTATCGTGGTGAAGTATGGGTAAAAATAAAAATCCACAGGACACGCACGGCATGGGGGACGCCATCATCCATCAGTGGTTCGACACATGGGCTCTTACATCTACATGCGCATTAGTCACTGGTTGTGTTATAAATGTATCAGAATGAGCAATATTTATATTAAAAGCAGAGATATTATTGGCTATGCAGTAGTGGATAAATAATGAAGCCACTGATTAAACACTCGATAAACGACGCATTGGCGAAACATCCCAATGTTTTTTCAAACTCAGCGAGGCTTTCCTGGAAACATTCGACATAGGTGCGATTATTGGAAATCGCAACATCCACTTGGCAGTGAGCCTGGCCACCCCATCTGTCTATTTACCGCCCGTGTGCCCTTTGGGAGGTCACAATGCACCACTCCAGCAGCCCACGCGACCTTTTATTGCATCGAGCAAATAAGCGTCAAACAGAAACTCAATTAGAATGTAAACTTTATAGTCGACGAACGGGAACATGAAAGCGCGTTGTGAACCCTGTGCTGCTCTGGTGATCTTTACTCCCCCAAATTCCTAGGTTCGTAATTACTTGAACCGTTGGGGTTTGTCTTAACCAACACATTATATAAGATACTAGCTGTACTGCCCGGCTTCGCTCGGAACTTGGATTCACCACGGGCGGCCGCCTTTGTCTCCCCAGTGGCGATGTTCACACATATCACAGCAGTTACTCGTTTGAGGCTGAGTCGACCTAGGGGAGGCCCAGGACCGGTTCAAATAATCGTCACCGGTGGTGGCCGTGAGCGGGAATGGAACTCGGGTCGCCGGGTTCGTAGCGCAGCGCGCGAATCGCTACGCAGTCCCCTCCCACACACACAAACAGGATAAAGACAAAATCCCCCGTGTAGCCTGTAGGGGGCAAGTGCTGTTAGCGAGCACCTATGAAGGCCGGCACGGCACACTAGGGGGTGGGTGGCCAGCAGCACGCCCGGCCGCCTGTATCTCCCCAGTGGCGATGTTGACACACCACAGCAGTTACTCGTTTGAGGCTGAGTCGACCTAGGGGAGGCCCAGGACCGGTTCAAATAATCGTCACCGGTGGTGGCCGGGAGCGGGAATCGAATTCGGGTCGCCAGGTTCGTAGCACAGCGCGCTAACCGCTACACTACAATGCGTTACGCTTCCACGTGCGAGGGTCACGTGACAGATGTGACGTCACAGCTCACTTGCCGTGCAAAAAATATATGCATTATTGAGCTCCCCCCCCTAAAAAAAAGGTGTATTTTTATAATTGTTGCATGGTGTACAGTCTGGAAAGTACCCACATGGCAAATTTCAAGTTTGTTGCATGTCGAGAAGTACGATAAACATTTTGAACAGACACATATTCACAACTTTGCCTTTTATATATATGGAGATAAGATGGAAACAGCAGAAGGAGGATTTCTCCACAACTCTGTCGCCTAATGATGTTGGTTGTAATTACTGGCAAAACGTCATAATACTCGAATTGCAAACGTTGTGGGTTTACTCTCCAACACACCGGTGTGCTGTACTAGTAGCGAATTGGCACGTTTACTTAACGTGACAAGCCTTACGGATTCCCTGTGTCTGGTGGTGGCGGGTTTAACGACAGATTTACACAAAAAACGCTCTTACCCAAAAACCTCTATTGTATTGTCATTCATGCTTTGGAGTTAATATCGCCTCTTTATGCATTGAGGTGGGGTTGTTTACATGTTAGTGGTGCAACGGTTCAACTTTGTAATGGCTTCTTAAACGCTCCCTCTAGTGGTAATTGTTTGGGTTTTCCTTCCACGCTGGCTAAACGTCGCGGAAGTGGCTCTGGAGCAGGGGTCGGGAACCTATGGCTCGCGAGCCAGATGTGGCTCTTTTGATGATTGCATATGGCTCGCAGATAAAACAAAATATTCTCACTTGTTTTAATCCATCCATCGATTTTTCACTGCGCATGTCCTGTTCAGGGCTGCAGGAGCAATTGTCCATTATTTTAATTGGATGATACTGGCCTACGTTTGCCGTTGCTGGGTAAAACAGGTAAACGCCCCCTTTTGAATCAGTCTGAGACTGCGTCTGCTCGGTCATTAGCTCAAAGCTAACCCTTCGACGAAGAAGATGGCGAAAAGAAAAAAGACGACGAGTATCGTACATTTCAGGACGAATGGACCGAAGAATTCGCCTTTGTGGAGAGAGCGGGTTCTGCGGTGTGTCTAATTTGCAATGACAAAATTACATCGTTGAAACGGTCGAATGTAAAGCGGCACTTCGACACGCGCCACGCTACCTTTGCATCAAAATACCCTGCGGGAGACAGCAGAAAGAAAGCGTCCCAAGAGCTTCTGAGCAGGGTGCAAGCTAGCCAGCAGCAACTCCACGTATGGACCCGGCAAGGTGACTATAATTCGGCTAGCTTTGCTGGTTCTTTAGCAATAGTGAGGAACGGAAAACCATTCACAGATGGCGAGTATGCTAAAACGTTCATGCTGGATGTAGCCAATGAACTTTTTGATGATCTTCCGAACAAAGACAAGATAATCAAACGGATACAAGACATGCCTCTGTCGGCAAGAACTGTTCATGATCGTACCATCGTGATGGCAAACAAAGTGGAGGAAACGCAAGTGAAGGACATAAATGCAGCGCCGTTCTTTTCTCTGGCTTTGGATGAGTCAACAGACGTGAGCCATTTGTCGCAGTTCAGCGTGATTGCAAGATATGCTGTTGGTGACACACTGCGCGAAGAAAGTCTTGCTGTTCTGCCATTAAAAGGGTCCACAAGAGGTGAGGATTTATTCAAGTCTTTCATGGAGTTTGCGCAAGAAAAAAGTCTACCTATGGATAAACTTCTCTCAGTGTGTACTGATGGTGCTCCGTGTATGGTGGGGAAAAACAAAGGATTTGTGGCGCTTCTCCGTGAACATGAAAATAGACCCATCCTAAGTTTCCATTGCATTATACACCAGGAGGCACTTTGTGCTCAGATGTGTGACAGGCAGTTTGGCGAAGTGATGTCGCTGGTCATTCGTGTGATCAACTTTATTGTTGCCCGAGCCTTAAATGATCGCCAGTTTAAAACACTGCTGGATGAAGTTGTAAATAACTATCCTGGTCTGCTTTTGCACAGCAATGTGCGTTGGTTGTCAAGAGGGAAGGTGCTTAGCCGTTTTGCGGCTTGCCTGAACGAAATCCGGACTTTCCTTGAAATGAAAGGCGTCGGGCATCCTGAGCTAGCCGACACCGAGTGGCTCCTCAAGTTTTACTATCTCGTAGATCTGACTGAACATCTGAACCAGCTCAACGTGAAAATGCAAGGCATTGGAAATACAGTGTTATCCCTTCAACAAGCTGTATTTGCTTTTGAAAACAAGCTGGAGCTTTTCATCACGGATCTTGAAACAGGTCGTTTACTACATTTTGAAAAACTGAGCCAATTTAAAGATGCATGCACAGCAAGTGAGCCCATTCAAAACCTTGATCTCCACCAGCTAGCTGGCTGCACATCCAGTCTCCTACAGTCCTTCAAAGCACGCTTTGGAGAATTTCGTGAGCACACTCGTCTTTTTAAGTTCATCACCCATCCAAACGAGTGTTCACTGAACACAGCCGACCTGAATTACATCCCTGGTGTCTCCGTCAGAGATTTTGAAGCAGAAGTGGCTGACCTGAAGGCCTCAGACATGTGGGTGAATAAGTTCAAGTCACTGAATGAAGATTTGGAAAGAATCACACGACAGAAAGCGGAGTTGGCGAGCAAGCACATGTGGACAGAAATGAAAAAACTCCAACCCGAAGACCAGCTGATTCTCAAAACTTGGAACGCGCTTCCTGTCACATACCACACACTGCAGCGTGTGAGTATTGCTGTATTGACCATGTTTGGATCTACGTATGCATGTGAGCAGTCATTCTCACATCTTAAAAACATCAAGTCCAACCTACGATCACGTTTAACGGATGAAAGCCTCAACGCTTGCATGAAGCTTAACCTCACCAAGTACCAACCCGACTACAAAGACATCAGCAAATCCATGCAGCACCAGAAGTCGCATTAATGGTGAGTGTTATAACAACATTATTTAAAAGAATAAATTCAGAGGCTTATTATACTGACATTTAGTTGAATTCACTTTTAAAATATATTATATGGCTCTCACTGAAATAAATTTCCAAATTTTTTGCTTTCATGGCTCTCTTAGTCAAAAAGGTTCCCGACCCCTGCTCTGGAGTATCCACATTTTAATCCACGTATGATTCCGATGCGTGTGGAGTAACCAGAGCTTGATTTCAAGCCCGGTGTGTGCATGGTCAGCGACCCGGAACAACACATCCACAGTACTTCTCGCTCCATCCAGCCCTTGGGGACTGTAATCGTTTCAAAACATTCAAAGTGGGACGGTGCATTCTGCTGTGTGGGTTTGCGTGGTCCTGCTATTAGCTCTCTCTGATGTTTGTGGGGCGTACCCACGCATTGTCCGTCTATTTGTACGTATGTTGAGCTTCTTTTGCACCGTACGTAGCCAACCGTGCAAATCGGAGGTGCAGGGTGAAGGACCACAAACTGAATGCAAAAAAACAGTTCTAAAGAAATTAGTTTTCAATCGAGATGATTTAGAAGTGCATAGCTCCAGCGGCTTCCTAATATTGG